TCACTGCCCCTACTGTCCACTTCTGCAACCTCCCTCCCCGTGCCCCCCCTCACACATACACACACACACACAGCACACACACACGCAAACCTCAACATGCTTTTTGCAACCTTTCATCTCAAGCACGTTAGCTTGGCAGAGGATACAATTCCCTCTCTCGTGTCAGCATTTCACCAACAAACCAAGCCCCAGATTCTTGTGAGGCTCCCCCAGCTGACAGTTTCGCTCAATTCAGTGCTCTCGTCCCAAACCCCCAAACTTCAAGCTGCTTTCTTTGCCTTCCTCTCTCCCTCTCTCTCCTCTCTTTCTCTCACTCTTTCTTTTTCTCTCTCCCCTTCTGCCCCGCTCTTTCTCGGCTCACCTAAATATTTCTTAATTGAACGGTTTGCTGTGGAGCTTCCTTATAGCAGTTTAATAGATTAACTCATCTGAGCCAGCCTCAAATTTCAGATTAAAATTCCTTCATCCCGAAGGCAGCATTATCAGGTTGTTGGAGGCTGTTTTCAAACCTTGGTTTTGAATAGCAGCGGCTCTGCATTAATTTAACCACTAAGCTAATAAGTAGGTTTCGTTTTGTTATGCTAAGCTTTATTGCTTTTCTTTTGATCAGAATGGTGTTGTTGAGCAAAGCAGCAGACAAGGCATTCTTTGATGAGGGAATTAGTGCTCCATTCTTCCTCTATTATTCATAGCGCAGTGGAATATGTAAGTACCTGAGGGTGTCAAAGGAGCGCAGGTTCTATTGCAAAGTGCTCGCCTTGTTTCTCTCAATAGCTGACTATGAGATGATAAACCGCTTAATACACTGTGCTAATTGGATGAGAGCAAAAAGAGATGGGAATTAAGGCGAGGCAAAAGGAGAAAGTGCAACCAGCCTTCAATTCACTCTTTCACCACTTTAGCAGCACCAAAGGAGGCACAAGCTTTCTATAAGCAGACTAGAGGTTTTGTGCAGAGATAAAATGAACGTGTTAGTGGATTCAAGTAATACACTAATTATTGCACAGTATAAATACCACTACTGGTTTTATAACAGGGAGGTAAACTTCTTTTGAGAGGGTTATAGGATTGCTTGGCAGTGGTGTAGAACCTAATAAGGGCCCAGAGTAATAACCCCCTGGATTAACAAAATTGCTGCTTGTAGAAGTATGATTCAGGCTTTTACGAAGATTTCCGGAGAATGAATAAAAATGACTGAATGACATTTCTTAATGTATAACTGGTAATCGCTCCCTTTTCTTTAAAGAAAAAAATGTATACTTCAAACTGGACTGTTAATAACGTCCAGGGACAACACGACGACTTTTTCCTTTGAAAAATGCTTTTTTCCCCCTTCAGGTAGCACGTTTTTCTTTCTCCCCAGCCCCCAGCCAGGCTACCACCATCAAGTTAAATATGCAGTTGCTCCGGGGAACTCTTCCAAAATACCATTTTAGGCCCCATTTAAGACCCCCTTCATTCACACACTTTTGTGTATACACATACACACATGCGTACGTACACATTTTTTGCTTCTAAAAGCAAGTTGAGCTATCCCACGTATAATTTTCCTCTCCTCTAACATCAGCCCCCTTCTCCATTCTAGTAAGATCTCCACACGTAACGACACACACAAAAAAAGACTAGTACGGGCGCCTTGTTCCTTGGTTTTACAAACCAGAACCCACAGGAGACCTGTCACCAATTGGCGGGGAACAGCAGTAAGAGGGGGGGACCGGAAGGGGACTGGCCTGGGCCAAGTCTGATGACAAACTGAAGACTTGAGTTTCAAGTCCTGGGGTTCCCAAACCTTCTCTTCAAGAGCCTGCTGTCCCATCACCAACCTGACAGACGTCCAGGACCCAGGCCAGCAGAGTAGGGGCGTGCATAGGGTGGTGACAAAACTTTGGAGAAAGTTATAACAACTGCCTCCTGCCTTTACACTGGGACAGATTGTCTTGCCCCATTCGTCATCCTTCCAGCTGGAGCTGGCCCAACTACTCCTCACTCCAAGGTGCTATGGGGGCAGCCCTGGGAAAGCAGATGTGTGCTACTGGCTACGTCCGCTCTATGGCAGGGCAGGGAGGGGGGGGAGCTCTCAGCTCCCGGGACCTGTATCTTCCTCCATGATGGAAGAGGTTTGCTTAGGGTTGGGGGGGGGGGGTGTCAGACGCTCCCAGCATTGTGACCGCGTTCCCAGATATTGGGGCCAAATTGGGTTGCCATTCATTAATAATGCTCACAATAAGATTAAATCATTCTGGAAAATCTCATAAAATCCCCCTAAGTACGCTCCAGTGGCTCTTTCCAATCCCCATCATTCAGCACTTGGGGAGGTTTGGAAGGAGAAGAAAATTGGTTTCTTTGCTTTTAATGCTGCTTTGAAAAGATACTCAGAGTTTGTCATGCGTGACATGTCACATGTTTAATGTGGACTTGCTGGAAGTCAGGGGGTCTTTAGCGTGTGATATTTATGGGGAATATTAAGTGCAGAATGAGGTCCCTCCAGCTGGGGAAAGTTGAAAGACTAGGAGGCCCAGGACCAGGCTTGTTTGCGGCATCAGAATGACATAGGATTAAGAGTTTGTGAAACAAGGCGAGGGGTTCTCATTGGCCAGTAATAAATGTAATCCTTGGAGGTAATTTCACGCAATTTGCTTCTGCTCCATGGAAGGGTCAAATGAGAAAAAATGACTTAAAAAAGAGTTCATTAACAGGAAGAATGGTACTGTTTCTCGTATACCATCCAACTGGCAGCCTGGTGCGCGAAAGGAGAAAAAAAAATCCCTACCTAAACAAAAAGCCAAAATCGACGGAAAATTGATATTGACCACCAAAAAGAGAAAAGTTTTTTTTACCCCTCATGCTCCTCAAATTCCAGAGAGTCCCAGTCCTGCCCAGGGAAAGAGGCTTCCCCCCAGAGGCCTGTGGAGGCTAAGGGGAACCAGATCCTCAGATGGGGGAGTTCCGCCCACAGGCCCCATAACTCCAGAGGGGAGCTGGCGGCCCTAGACCTGACTCCTCCTTGTGGGCGCCGCGCTGAGTCCTGGGCCGGAACAGAATGACCATGACCCACCCTAGGGCCAAGGGCCGGTGAACAGCCTGCTGCCCCGCGAGCCCCACGGATGCGCTCCCCGAAGTTTCCATCGATTGCCCATTCCTCCACCCCCACCCCGAGTTCTCGCTGACCTCGGCCCGACCCCGCACTGGCCCCTCGGCGGTGTGCACTTGTGCCTCTGAGGGGACCTGCCCCCCCCCCCCCCCAACACACACACACCTTCTCCTGGGAGCGCGCGCGCCGAGCCTGAGGGCCGGACTCCAGAGACGCGTCGCGCCCCCCGCGGTGACCGGCCGGTCGCCTGCAGCCTGACGGGGCGTCCCGCACCCGTTCACCAGCAGCGGCAGTCACGCTCCCGCGGCACCCCCCTCCTGCCCCTCTCCCCAAAGGTCCGGCGCGCTAATTACTGCAAATTGAAACTAATTAAGCTTCTCTTCCCTTTCCCATCACCCTGGGAGCGTCGCGAAAGCCAGCCCCCCGCGGGCGGGCTTACACCCAGCGGTCACCCCGAAGGCCCAGGGGAGGGGAAGCCCACCCCCTCCCGCTGCGGGCAGGGTGCAGAGGGGGTTCCGGATTGCAAATGTTTGGGGCTCCCCACGAAACCTGAGTTGTTTAGATTTTTTTTAAATGTTTACACCTCCCAATGCCTGGGTAAGTGATGTAATGACATTTGTCGAGTTTAAGATCTGCTACTTGGATACCTCACGCTGCATTTCCATCACCACTGTTCCAACTCTCTCTCTCTCTCTCTCTCTCTCTCTCTCTCTCTCTCTCTCTCTCTCTCGCACGCCCTCCCTCGGGGAGCCCTTCTCTCAGCCAGCGCCTGGCGCCCCGCTCTCGCCGTTACCTGTCACCTCCGACTGCGCGGTACTTCCTTGCTAGGTGCCACTTTCCACGAGCCTCTTCCTCTGCTTTCTGAGCCAAGACTTCCCCTCGCTTCCAATTTCTGCTCCGTCGTCAAGGATGCCTACCATCTACCCACCCACCCAGAGGCCCCCCTCCATTTCCGCAGCCCAGAAATACTCCCCCCCTCGCGGGAGAAGATGGGGGGTGTCGAGGGAGGGAAAAGCGCGTGGCCAGTGGAGTCGCGGGGGCATCCTTAAGTTTCGTAGAAACCCGGATCTCTTGAAACATCAGAATGAAAGATCAGAATGAAACCGAGGGCCTCTTCCAGGAAAACACGCGTGTACGTAGCCGAAGGGGGGTGCCGGCGTGCAGTAAAGCCATCCCTGGTCTCTGGGGCTCCCTTCTCTCACCTCAGGGTTGCATAGAGCATCCACACTTCCTTGTGTTAAACATATAATTTTTTTTATTTTGAGCGTGACACTTCTCCACTAGATAGCAAGGAAAAGTGATAACAATTACACATTACACAAAAGTACTGTACCATTGCCTTTATCATGAAGGTTTCAGAAGCCTCTACAGTTAATAAGTTAAATAAAGGGCTTGAGTACATAAATATTTGTCTAGGAACCCTACCGTATCTACAACACAGTAAGAATCTACAGGAGGACAAACTTTTACCATACCACGCTGAGTGCAATTGCGTTATAACATTTCAAATATACAAAGCTCTGTTCTTTTTTTTTTAATAACAATGGTATGTACAGAATCAATAATCACAGTTTGGTGACTTCAACAGTCCATATTCTAGCAGAGTATTTCCCTTTGGTTTGATATAAAAACCTTGGTTGGTGTATGATAAAGAAGAGAACAAGTACAAGACGCCCGTTTCCTTTAAGTGCACTGTCAGCTATCTTACAGGTCATGCGTGTGTTGCCCTGGCTCATGCCGCGGGCCCACGCAGGAGGGATCAACTTAGACCGCCAAAATGCTATTTCCAAAAAAAAAATACCCAATGGGGTGTCAGGAAGACGAGGGGAGGATGGGGCTTTTACATCGTTTCACTTCAATGCCAGGCGTCTTGGGGGGAGCAAAGCTCTCCGGTATTTTTTTTTTTTCAGTAAAGTAAGAACGGGAGAGTGTGGACGTTGGAGTTGGAGCGAGGTTGGCAGTGACAGGGGCAGGGGCAAGGACAGGGGCGGGGGCGGGTGGACAGCCCGCCGAGGAGGTGCCAAGTCCACTGGCACCGACGGCTGCCTCGCGCCCGCGTCCAGGCTGCTGCGGGGGGGTGGGGGGCGGCTGCGCTCTCAGTGCCGTCTCGGGTGTGTGCTGGTCCTCGGTTTCCATTTGGTCTAGAGTGGTGCTGAGTGAGGTGACCTTTCGGGGCGCGCCCGGGGCGCGCGGTGTGGCGGGCAGCCTTTAGCACACCTCCTTGCCCGTGCTGGTGCCCGGCAGGATGTTGAGCTGCGTGAGCTGCGCCGCGTGCTCCTTGGCCTTGAGCCTCAGCGCCGCTATGCTAGAGGCGCGTCTGTCTGCGGCCGCCGTGGCCGGGTCGGCCAGCGCGCCCGACGCCACCGCGCCCTCCACGGCCGGCGTGGGCTGTCTCAGGAGCGCGGCCGCGGTCGACGCGCTGGTCAAGGGGGCCATGGTGGAAAAGAGCCTGCGGGGGGGGAGAGCAAACAGCGCGGTCACGCCGGGGCAGTGCTCCCCGCGGGCCTGCCCGGCGTATCCGCACCGGCCAGGTCAGAGGTGGGGGTGGGGGTGCATGCTCGGCATCGGGGGTGCGGCTCTGCCCCGGGAGGGGGAAAGCGGAGGGAGGACCCTGCCCCGAGGCCCGAGCTACCCCCAGGGGCCGGCGCGGGGGTTGCAGGGTGCGAGTCGCGGCGCACTTCGGCGCCTTCGCTCTACAGGGGGGTGTATTCCCGATCCGGGGCTCCGGCTGCGGCGACGCGCTTTGCCAGGAGCAAGGACAAAGGCGGGGGGGAAAAGGTTGCCGGGGTGTGGGGGGGGCACTGAGGTCCCGGGATCGCGTCAGCCCCAGCCCCGGGCTGCGGAGTGCTCCCCGGGGGTTCGGGGTTCGCTGGGCTGGCTCCCCGGCACTCCCGTCGGTTGAGCCGGGCCCGCGGGATGGAGAGGTGGGGGGGGGGGGGCACCGGCCGCCTGTTGGTTCCCGCTCGGCCCGGCGGCTGAGGGACCAGCGGGCGCCCCGTGCCCCCCCCCTTTCCTCCGCTGCCTCTCCCGGTGTCCCGGCAGCCCGGCTTTTGCCACTTCGCATGCGATGCCCCTGCTTGCGACTTTCCCAGCATCAGCGTCCCCTTCGCGCCACTGCCGGCCGGGGTAGCCCGTCTGCCACGGCCAAGCTCCCCCCGCCCCCCCAACCACCGGCTTTTCCGAAGCCATCCCAAGAGCTCAGCCTTCATCCCTGCCGGGTCAATTCTGGGTTCCCGCTATTAGGAAGGAGTCCGTGGGGACTAGCCTGGACGCCCCCCCACCCCACCCCACCTCTCCAATCCGCCCTCGTGCACCCCCACACCCCTCCCCTGGCAGCCCGCTGTTGTAAGTCATTTATCTGAAGGAAAAGGGAGAAGAACACGGGACTTTTAAATTTCTTTTTTTCCCCCCAAAAAAGTAAGAATGTGGCCTGGAGGTGGCGTAGTGTGCCCTGGCTGCACTAGGTAAACTGAGTCAGTCCACATCAGCGCACTGGCTCTTTATTTTGTAGGTTTGTTATGGGGAAACTAATTTTAGTTCCTGTCTTTGGGGAAAGATTTTTCTCTAAGCTGATTTTTGTTAAGTGGCTGCGCAGTTGGGTGAATCTATTATTTCTTTGTTCACCAAGAGATCATTGACGCTGCATTCAGTTTTATTTTCACTGCACTTTCCAACTTCATACATCCCTCTTTTGTTTCTTTGTCTGTGTGATTGTACAGACTTTTTTTTTCTGTCATCATTCGATGTTCATCTAAAGAAAGGGAGTTATAATATATGATGTACTGTTATTTCCTTGCATCATGCCGCTGTAGGGGCCGGGGGGTTGCACATATGGGGGTATGGTTGGCAGCAAGGTCACTTGAGTGACAGGAAGATGGAGTCTGGGGAAGAGGAATAAGTTCTGAATTAATTCTTTGTGCCCAGAAGATGCGCAGCTCCTTCCTCTCCCCGAGGATCGGGGCTGCGGTCCCCTGGGTAGCAAACTTCAGGAGGGGTTTGCCACCAAACTTCAAGTCCTCCTTTAACCCCAGAGCACTGAGGGCCGCGGTGCTGTTGCCCTTCAGATGGTCCTTTTCTAGCTTTCCTTGAACACTGCCACAGCCCTCCCTCTGTCCCCACATTCCCGGAGGCAAGAGTTGAGAGTATTTCCTTCGACTGAGCTTCTGAGCTTAAACCCGCTTCCTCCCGCATGCCGGCCTCCCCCCATCCTCCCCCCGGAGGGTGTAGCAGACAGACAGAGGGACAAACACAAGGCTCCCGGAGGGCCACGGGTTACCTGCCAAACGCAGGGCTGATGAAGGCCGGGTGCCGGAACACGGCGGCTCCGAGGAAAGTGCTCAGGCCCAGCGGCGCCCCGCTGGGCGGCAGGCTGGCCGAGCCGGGAGGCGGAGGTAGGCTCGGGAAGGCAGCGGCTGCGGCGGCGGCAGCGGCCGTCCAAGCCGAGTCGAGCGCCGGATGGTGCGGGGGGAAGGGGCTGGCATCCAGGTAGGGGCTGAGCGGGTGTGTGGCCGACAGGGGTCCCGGGAAGGGCAGCCCGGGAGGGTGGGTCTGCGCCCCTGCCTTCTCCCGCTTGCGCCACTTGGCCCGCCGGTTCTGGAACCACACCTGCAAGGCGGAAAGAGCCGGGGTCTGCGCAGCTCCTGGTTGTCCGCGCGCCCCCCGCAACATCCCACCCTACTCCCTATCCTGGGCACGGAGCCCCTTCTTTCCAGTGGGGTCTGGCCCACCTTGGCCCCCTTGGTCTCAGCTCGCAGCTAATCTGGGACCGAGGGGATGGTGAAAAGGAACCCAACCTTAAGAAGCCAGCAGGTTGAAACAGGGAGGGCAAGCAAACTCTTTCCTATGAGTAGCTTAGTTCCTTTCTGAGTTCTAGGAAGGTGGCTTGGTGTGATTATCCATGGGGGGAGGGAGGGAGGGAGGAGGAACCACCATTGAAATGTCTTCCTGCCATTTGCTTCCTGCACATCTTCCGGCAGCTCACTTAACCCTCTCTAAACCTCAGTTTCCTAATCTGTGAAATGGGGGCAATCACACGTTTTTCTGCCCCCCCCCCTCAGGCTATTGTAAAGAAGGAATAAAATCAGGCGGGTGAAAGCTAGTGATCAAGAGTGATTCCCCAGGCCGGGACCCACCCAGAGATGCATGCCAGTAAGTATATTCGCTTATTTCAGTTTGCCTGAAGAGCTGGCAAAATCTCTGCTGTTTTGAAAAGGGAATCGGGAAAGTGGCTTATTTATTACAGAAATACTTATTGAACACCTACCAGCACTAGGCTGGGTTCTGGGGTTTGGGGAGAGCTGGAAGGGAGGGAAGAAATGCCCAGAGTAATTAGTGAACAAATTTTTAGGGCATCAGTTTTCCTTCCATGAATAGGGGGTGGACGGCCTGCTATCTGCAGGGGTTCTGTGCCGGGCTGGATGCTACCCACCTAACTGCTTGGCCCAAGCAGCAGTTAGTGCCAGGACACCTAGATACCAGACTCAGGAATCCCAAGACTTCTCCAGTCAGAGCTAACAGGTCCTTATTTCTGGGGGTGAGCTGGGGTAGTTAACGAGGTTTCTGAAATAAGAGCACTCTAGGCTTGGGGGAGGTTTGCAGCACCAGGCACCTTCCTAAGTGTTAATAGAAAGCAGCTCCCTTTAGTGGAGCCCTTTACCTGAAATGTGGCAGCTACCAGAGCCTAAAAATAACTCCCAGGAGCAAAAGATTATTTTTATGTGACCTGCTCATCACACCCACAGCTGAGCAGATATGCTCCTTCCCCCCTCAAGGTATTAATATTTTTAGGGCTGGGTTTATGCCTGCACACAAGACTAAGAAATTAAGAATGAACTCCAGGGCTATACAGAGTTATATTAAAATATAATGTAAATGATCCCAAAGGAATATGTTCCCCCCAAACGGGAAGACATCCGTGTCTCTCAAAGACACACACTGGGGGCTGTCATGACGAGTAACTTCTAGACAGCCATCTGGGGCAAACAAGCTCCAGACTCCACATGGGCTGATGGCTTAGGATTCCTCGGAAAGGGAGCCCATCCGTAGCATTCCCCAGTCCTGCACCATCTATTTGGGAACTGCAGAAAACACTCCAGTGGGGATAATCAGCGGCTTGCAGAAGACTAGGTGACACCCAGGCTGGGTGGGCAGCTTTTGTGTATCCGAATCCGTCTAGACAAGAATACCCGACACTGCTCCATTGCACTGAAAGGAGGAGGCTGGGGGGTGGGGGGCACAGAGGCAGAACACCCCTAAAGAAAGGGGAAACCTTTTACAGAAGCTCCTCTCTCCCGGCTCAACTGCAATTATCAAGATGTCCCCCTGCAATTCCTCATTATTGAATTAATACCTCTGAGGCCCCCCAAAGGTAAACGAAAGGACTCTGATAATTCATATTCACTTAATTACATCTTCTCCAGTGAATAGGGAGAGAGGAGAAGGGGAGGGGGCGCTCTCTTTCTTTTTAAAAGTTATTTAACTTTCCCACGACTCGTTCCCCTGAGCTGAAAATACGGAGTTGCTGTCACATCTCTGTTTGACAATGGAGAAATGTGTCAACAGAAAGGAGGGGACTGGCCTCATCATTAGCCCTCTAATGCAAGAAGCTGTTGTGTATTAAATGAGCCATATGGAATTTATTGTGCTTTATCAGCGCTTGATTTTGACTGTAAAGTGATTCACTCAGCTCCTAACCCAGGGACATCTGTTTTCTGTTGGCCGTTGGGGCAGCCCAGTGTTGATCGTCTCTTTGGTTATGAGGCCTGGGTTCGGAAATGCACTCTGGTATGGGGCTGCAAACACCTTTAATAGCATTGCACTCACTCCCTATTAGATCAATGTGGGCTCATTGCTATAAAAAATGGGAAATCAAATAGCATTAGCCAGCTCCTTGTGCGGGCGGAGGGGAAATCAAACAGCATTTTGCCTTCAAATGGCCCTGTTTGTTCTAGCACTAAGTGGGCTTTTATGAAGCCCGATTGGAGACTTAATCGCAGCCAAATACCTGCTTGGAGCTGAGCGGATTTGTCTAACAACCAAACCCATGCTCCATCCCATTATTTCAATCAGGAGAAGTGAGTCTGTGGATTGTTTCCTACAGCGGTTGGGGGACCAAGGAGGGGGGTTGGCGGGATCCTGAACTGTAGTCTCAGGACCCCCAAAGCTGTTCTGATCCTGGACTCCTTTCTCAAGGCTCCCCAGACCCAGAACCCTTCCCCTCCCACCTGCAAGGTCTTCATATCTGAATGTTTGTGTGAGTGTTGTTAGTTTTCTTAATCTGCTTGTCCTCATTTTGTAGAGGGGGTCTTATCCGGCCCCCCCATCTCCTCACCCATCTTTCTTTCCCGCCCGGACCCTTCCTACCCTTCCCCCTCTTTGTGAAGCAGCTCACCTGGACTCTGGCCTCAGTCAAGTCCAGCCTCATGGCCAGTTCCTCCCTAGAAGAAAGCAACGCGTATAGGTCACTGCAAGGCTCCTACAGCCCCCTCTGAGCCACCCTCCTCCTTGGGGGGAGCCCTGCCTGTCTGCCCTCACCCCTAAACAGACATCATCATCCCTTCATCCCTGGAGTGCCTACTAGTTGACTGCAAACCGAAAAACACAAAACATGAACAGATATGGGAGAGCCTAGGTTTGACGGTATCATATCACTCATAGAGACCAGAGTGGCTTCTGAAGTCTGTATGTCTACAAAGCTGGTACACAGACCCTCTCTTAAGTCAGAGTCAGATCACAGAGAGAGAGAGAGAGAGAGAGAGAGAGAGAGAGAGAGAGAGAGAGAAGAGAGATCATATTAGGACACACCATGTCCTAATATTAAAGGGGAGAAGTCAGTACTCAAAGAAAAAAAAACACCCCCCCCACCCACACCACCCAAAAAAGTGTGGCTCTTTGGATTTTCCTCTACCTTTCATTTTCTCTCTTCCCTTCTCCAGCTCGTTCCAGTGCGCTAGCTCTCCCTCCCTCACTCCCTCAGGCCATACTTCCCATTACCCTCTGGAGATATGCTAAGCTTGTTAAGAGTTCAGTGGGGTAATTTTTCGATTAAACAAAATTCTGCGCACCTCCTGACTCCAGTGCCCACTACAAACCCTGCCCATCTCAGGGGAAGTCAATTGAACTGAAACCCTACCCCTTCATTGCTGTTATTACTGCCACAATTAAGGCAAATAGGAAACCATTAAGATGCTGTAAAACGGCTTAGACCTGTTTACGGAGAAACTCTGAGTGAGCCCAATACATGGAGAGTGCTGGCTACCCGCATCTGGGACCCAGGTCTGCACTACTGCGTGTCTGCGCACCACCCCCTCCGCCAGCCCCGACCCCCTAGTCCACACCTGAAACTTCAGGACCCGAGGGAGAAAGCCAGTTTCCCCATGCCTCCTGTTCCAGGTAGAACCAGCAGAAGCACCCCACACTCTGGTGGGGGCTGGGGGCCAAGGGGCTTTAACTGCCCCTTGGGTCTGGAGGAACTAAGCGTGGAGCACTGAATGAGAGTGGGCTACCCTCTTCATACTCTGGTTCCCTGGATAAACTGAAAAAAAAAAGTGAGAAGGCACACCTGAATGCCCACTGACACCCCATTTATTTCCCTTTTGAAAGACACGTGATGAACCGCAGAGAGCCGGTGGGCCACACGCTGTCTTTGCCAACGGTCATTAGGGGCCCAGATGACCCCGGAAGGATTCGAAGCCTTGTGGAGCTGAAGGAATGGCAAGAGGGGGGTGCCATACCTTCCCGCACTCCCGCTTTTCGGTTTCCCGGTGGGAAAGAGTTTGCCAATTAGTCGCCAGACCAACTTGGCAGAGTTGCCACGGGCCTCTGGGAACCCGAGGCAGAGATTTCTCCTCGGGTTCAAAGAAACGAGCGGCTTCCCGCTTGCAGAGCGCACATTGAAAAGCTGCACACGTCCCCGGCGAGCTGCCTGAACCCGGCCAGCCCCGCGCCGGGCAGACGCCCAGCGCCTGCTCCCTCCCCACTGGGGCCTGAGAGCGGGACGAACGGGCTGCCCACGGTGTCGCACCCCGGGCCCGCTGGCAGTGGGGAGGGAAGGAGGAAGTCTTCTCTGTGCCACTGAGGAAAGGCTCCGTAGCAGGGAGTTGAGTGTGCCCAGGTTGAACCCCCAGGCTGGACCCCCGCCCCGTGCGGTTTGTCTGCTGCCCGCGGGGCTGCCAGCCATCGGTGCCCACCCTCGTGGACCCGGGTCCAGCGCGTAGTGAGCACGTGGCGGCGGGGACAGGACAGAGAGGAAAGAGGACAAAGTCGCAGGCCGATGTCCCCCACTCCCCCCCCCCCACGGCCCAGGTGGACACTGGACACCAGACACTGCCCGGGTTATTTCAGGAGCCCTCGAACGGCACAGCTTGGATCTTTGTTAAAAGGCCTTGTCCGCAGGCGCGGGCTCCAGCCGCCCTGCGAGCCGGGTAACTGATACCCACCAGGCTCCCGGTACACCGGGCGTGGGTGGCCAGCACGCCGCTGCCCCCAAAAATAACCGCCAGCTTTGCTGCGGCAGCGGCGCCAGGAGCGCAGCACCCGGGCCTGCCAGTCTGCGCGGCCGCGCGAGGGTCCTGCCAAGCCCCTCCTGCCTTTCACGTCCCCCCCCAACCACTCCAACTTGCCATGTGCGGAGGGGGGGAGCACTTTCCCGGGGGCGGCAGGAGGGAGCGAGAGAGGGCAAGTCTGCGTCCCAGCCCAAACTTCCAGCCCTGCGCCTGGTGGGTGTGTGGGGGGGGAGGCGGGAGTGGGGAGTTGGGGGACCAGGGAGCCGGGACGGGGACCAGGGTAGGGGTGCGGGTGGGGGCCGCGCCGGACACCGGGGGCAGGGGGGGGGGGGCACGGCCTGGCCGCCGCGGGTTCGAGCCTACCTGGTGAAGACGTCGGGGTAGTGCGTCTTCTGGAAGGCCCGCTCCAGTTCCTCCAGCTGGTAGCTGGTGAACGTGGTGCGGTAGCGCCGCTGCTTGCGTTTCAGCAGCCCCTCCTCGGAGTCGCTGCCCGCCGACAGGCACACGCTGTCCTCGCCGTCCTTGCCTTCGGCGTCCTCGGGGTGCAGCAGCAGCTCCTCCTTGGGCGACAGCTCGCCGCCCTCGGGGGCCACGGCAGCGGCCGCGGCCGAGGCCACCGCGCCGGGAGCGGCCACGCCGCAGCGCCGGGGCTCCTTGAGCAGCGCGCGCGCGTCGTCCTCCAGCAGCTCTTCGTCGTCGTCCTCCAGCAGCTCCTCCTCGTCGTCGTCGTCCTCCTCGTCCTCCAGCAGCTCCTCCTCGTCGTCCTCGGCGCCCGGGCCGGTCCCCGCCGCCGCCGGGGCGCCACCGGGGCCGCCGGCCGGGCCGAGGCGCTCGTCGGGGTGCGCGGCGCCCCCCGGGCCAGCCAGCTCGTCCAGCGCGGGCGGCGGCGGCACGAAGGGCGCCCCGTTCTCCCGGTACGACTTGCTGCGGCTGATGCTCACCTGCGGCGCCTGGCTGATCTTCAGCGTGTCCCAGGCGGCGGCGGCCGCGGCGGCGGCCACCGCCACCCCCGCGCCGTCCGGCCGCTCCCCGGGCCGCGCGCTGGGCGGCGGCGGCGGCGGCGGCGGCGGCGCTTCCCCCCGCGGCCCCGCCGTGGCCGTGGCCGTGGCCGCAGCCGCGGCCGCCGCCGCCGCGGCCGCCGCGGCCGCTGCGGCGCCCTGGAGGAGGCGGCCCCCGCCGGGGCCGTACAAGCGCCGGAGCTTGGGCGGCAGGTGCAGCTCAGCCTCGAACGGGGCGCTGCTGCCCTTGGGGGAGCCTGCGGGCAAGGGAGAGCGGTCAGCGCGGGCTCCCCGGGCTCCTAGGCCCCGGCCAACCGCGCCCTCCCGGCCCCCTCCGGACCCCTGGGCCGGCGCTTTCCTGGTCTTGCCAACGCTTTGGCTCTCCCCTTGCCGCTCCTCCTTTTCTTTCCCTCTCGCACTCGTCCCTTTATTCCGCTCCTCGCGGGGCCTGTCTGCTTCCCTTCATTCATTTACTCCTTTTCGTCTTTCTCTCCCATCCCTCCCTTTCAGGTCCTCGTCTTTCTCCTCGCCTTTCCTCTTTTGTGTGCTCCCTTCCTCTCTTTCTTTTTTTCTTTCCCTTGCTCAGTCTCTCACTTCCCTGGGATCCCTACCCATTTCGGGCCAGGGGAGACTCTGAAGATATTGAACCACTTAAAACACACACACACACACACACACACACACATACACACAATCACAACCACCCCGAAAACTTGGCGCACGACCTCTGCCAGTGACTCCGTCGAGGAGACCCCTGTGGACGGAAGCGGCCTGTCACCCGCCGCACCCCAATAGCCTTTAGTGGGGGGGGGGCGGATGCTCCTTGTGTAGAAAGGCAAAGAAAAATTTGTTCAGACAAAACTGGGTTCTGAAAGGCCCGATGAGGGGCTAAGGAGGGGGAGGTCAAGAGCCGCTACTTGCCTTTGAGGAAACGCCTGCACAGGTGCCACTTAAGGCAAAGAAAAGAAAAGGGACAAGTCACTTGTAAATGCCCACTTCGCCACCGCGAACCCCCCTCTTGTAGTGGCACTGGGGCTGGACGGATGGTGTTTGAATTTTAAAAGAAATTTACCCTTCTTTCCCTGTAATCGCTCTGCAGGCAGAGCTAGGCGAAACTTATGGTTTGGGGCAACACGACAGTTGTTCAAAAAAATTTTTTTTGGCGGGGGAAGCCCTTAGACATCTCAAGTCAATTTCTAAAATAACGGTAGCAAGAAAAAAAATAGCACCCAGAAGCCGCACATTTCATATGTTTCCCATCCATCAGGGAGCATTTGGGAAGTCCCAGGCAGATGCTTTCTGCAAAGCGTGGTCACAAGTAATCTAGAATTAGGGATACTAATAGTTTTCCAAAGCAAAATAACGCTTATAAAGAAATCTTCCCAGGAGGAAAGACCAAGACTCACTGGCCGGGGACCGCCCCCCACACACACACTGACCAGCTCTGGAGATTCTTGTCTTCACTAAGTTCCTGTTACAAGGGACCACCAGTACTTGATGTTTCTAACCTGTCGCCCCTCTTCAGAGCACACCCAGGGCCACCAAATGGGGGGGCATTTAAATGACCCAAAGACCAGAGTGGAGAATCTAAGGACCTCCAAGTGAAGCCTGGCCCGGACTTTTCTGGAGGCAGAGAGGGAGGGAGAAACAGCTCCCCGATCTCACCCCCCTCCTCCTCCGCCCCAGATGCTTTGAGGCACCAGGCCTCTAAGTTGTTCCCTCTCTTTTCTTGGTGTCCAGTGTGTCAACCCTTGGTCCCTGGCCCCAAATACCAAAGACCCAAACCATGACCCGGGGCCCTTTTGCAGGTGCCGGGGTGGGGAGGGCACAGACTTACCTTGAACGTTCTTTTCCTGATCGTTGCGGCTAGCCAACGGGGCGGGCAAGCTCTGTGCGGCTCCCAGCAGCCGCATTTTGCACGGGCTCCTCCGACCCAGGATGCTGTCGATGCAGTAGGAGGACAGCAAAGTTGGAGATTTACTTTTGCACTCGGGCCTCTCGGAGCAGCCCTCCTCCTGGTACTGATTGCTCATGGCTGGGCTTTTTCCCGGGGTGCAGAGAGCGGGCCCCGAAGACTGCCTCTCCCGGAGGGTGGAGTGGCTGGGTGTGTTGGGGGGGTGTGGTTGGATGGCGGGTTAGAGTGGATAATATTGCGATCTCTGCACCGCTCTCCGTCTCTCGCTGGTTGGCTGCCGGCTCCCGCCCTGCCCGAGGCCTGAGCTCGCCCTCTCCGCGCTCAGGACAAGCAGTAACAAGTGTAGTGAGCGGCGGGCGCAAAGCTAGGGAGTCTGTCTCCTCCACGTGCTGAGAGGCGCCCTCTTATTGGCTCTCGCCAGAGGCCGGGCTGAGCCGGGCTGCGGGCCCGCTGCAAAACCTGGACTGGATTTTCCGCAAGGCGGAGGCGGGCTGGGCAGCGGGCACTCTTCAGAGCCAGTTTGCTTTTTCTTTTTTTCACTTTGGTGCTGCAAACCCTCTGCGTTCCCATCCCCTTCCCCTCCTTTGGCGCCTCCTTTAACCCTTTAGGGGTGGTGGCCCGAAGCTCTAGCTTATTCGGATGGCACTGCAGCTGGGTGGCACTGGGGGCGACGCGCGCCCCTTTCAGAACCAGCCGGAGGACCTTTCTCCCCGCAGGGAGGCCTGGAGGCCGGCTCGCGGGCCCGCTCGGCCCTGTTCAAAGGCGACCTCGCGGCCCGGGACCGCGCTTTGGCCTCGGGGGGTGCGCCATGTTCGTCCTCTTTGGGCCGCAGGAGCCCGGGACGTGCCAAGGTGACGGGCTCAGACTCCCGTCTGCCGTCTGAGCCTTGAGTTTTCTCCTTGATCCCCAAAGCCTCGGGCGGTTCATCTCCTCCCGAGAGCACGGTTGCTCCTTTCCCCTAGTTGCCTCCCGGCCCCTCGCCTGTCCTGTCTGCGCTCACAGGACCCCTGCACGGCCAAGTACGGCCAAGTACTGCCAAAGGCCTTCCCAAGGGATGCTCTGGCGCGGGGAGCGCCCGGCCAGGGTCCGTGGACGGTCGGGGGAGAGGCCGGGGACAGGTCTGGGGCTCTCTTCTTCTCCTGGGACGCTTTCCGCTCGGCATCCCTACAAAGCCATCACCCCGAGGCCACGCCGGCTTGAGTGGCGCGCTCCGGGGTGCGGGATCTACGGGGGCTGGGTGGGGGTGAGCGGGGCGCTCCAAAGTCGGAGGAGAGACCCGGTTTGGGCTCGGACTAAATTTAAGCGCCTGAAATTCTGAATTCTCGAAACCGGCTTGCCCTTAGCAAAGGTGTGCGAGGGAACGGAGGGGGCAACGCGCTGGTTCCTTCGCCAAAAACGACCTGAGCGGCCGGCGCTGAGCACTGAGACCCAATTCGGATGGAAGTTGGGAACGGCCCGCACGAGGGGCCGGCGTGGACGCCCTCCAGGCCGGGGTTCTGGGCCCAGTGGATGGCCGGGGTGGCCGATCCAGGCGGGGTGGGGGTGGGGTGGAGACGGGACCCGGAAGGGAAAATCCACGCCGGGTTTTCCTCTCTCAAACCCTTCAATGTGTCAAAGAGAAAAAGCGTTTTTACAAAGGATTATACTTGAATCACTTACAGTCAGTATTTAAAAATACAAGCATGCATAACTGAGATTTTTTTTAGCCATAAACATCTGCATAACTCTTGGCTGCTGGTGGGTGGCAGACAGATTGGGCCGGCTTGGCAGGAGCATTCAATACACAATTTGAGGGGGCTGAAGGGCTGCGAACAGGAACATTAATAATATTAATACTGGTGCTGGTGTTACTACTACTATAGAAGGCTAGAGGAAGAGGGTGTCTGGTTCCTCACTCTCCACCTGTCTCTGTCCAACACACACTCCCTCCACCTCTACGTCTGCGTGTCTCTTTGGTTTGTCGTTTGATGCTCACCAGTTTTCCTTGGACTTTGGGTAGCTCCCCCTCCTCCACCCCTCCCCCCCTCCGCCCGGCAAACTAACTACTAGCTTTTGCTTAAGCCCCGTCTGCGGTTCCGAAGCCCTGGGGCGGGGGGGGGGGGCGGGGCGGGGGCTTTCTCTCGCCTGGCCCGCGCCCCGCCTTTGACATCCTCACCCACAGCTCGTTGTTTTCCTGTGCGGTCCCGTTCCTCTCAAGGCTAACATTCTGGCGCCGAATCCCTGCCCCCCACCCCATCCCCCTTTTCCTCTCTGGCGGGGAAGAGCCGGCTCGGGCCACAGAGATGCATAGACGCGGACCCTCGCCCGCGTCCCTAGCCGGGCAACTGCCAGAGACCCGGAGCACTTTTCCCTCGCTGGCGGGTCCCGCGTCGGAAATCCACAAGACCCGGCTGCCGGGCGACTGCGTGATTTTCGAGTCGGCTCCGCACCCGCAGAGAGTGGGCTGAAAAGGAGCCGGGAAAAGAGCGTGTTGCACAAAAAAGAGACACAAATGCACGAACCATTTTTGAGAGCCTAACAGGGTTGCAGCGCTCTCGGTGGAAGATATCTTTGCCTTCTTCCCCCACCTCCCCCTTCTGCAGCTGTTCTCCCGTTTAAAAAAGAAGTCGGACTTTCTGCTGGGGTGTATTCTAATTTTAATCATCCACTGTCAAAGGGGAGATTAATATAGAATTTCTGATTCTAGCTAATGACCCCTGCAAGTAAAGATAATTTTATTAATGACATATAAAGTGTGTCTTTGGGAAAACTGTGTGAAAACACTAGCTTCATTTTTTTTAGTTCATTTTTGTTATTTTCTAATCAATCTGCCCAAATGAGGACGCTATTGGGAAGGCAATTCAGCACCCAACTTGAAAATCTACAGTTGACTTGCTAGTCCTGAAAGATTAAATTAAGAGAGGGGGTGGGAGGAGAACTTTTCTAACATTTCCAGGAGGAGACAGAAGCTGCTGGTCTCTTCAGTGTGTAATCTGAATCTGAATCTGAATTTAATATGCTATTTTGGAAAAATAAAACGATGCCTCTCAATAAACTTGGTAGAATTTAATTGATTTGTTGAGGAGGTAGACTTAAGAATTGGGCTCTATGGCTATCTAAGAGAACTTTTAGTTTAGTCAATTTAATAATTACACTGTCAGCAGATTGACTTCATGTTCTGTTCCACTGATCAGAAGTAATTTCATTTTAGTGATAACATTCTCCACGTTGGTATTTTGTTATTCACACAACTCATGGCTGCTCTAATCTTTGAGATCTGACACTGAGGCTTTTCTTTTCCTTAAACTGCCTGGAAAACAACAGTTTGCAGTTCATCTGCCTTTAAAATCAATCACTAAAATAAAAAATGACAATTGTGGTCGCAAGTGAGGGTCACAAGTGTTTAAAACTGTTGTTTATGGCAAAAAAAATGAGTCTTGTCCCCAGGACTGGAAATAATAATTACTTAGGACAGGCGAATGGTAGAAAACCCTTTCTTTTCTGTGGTGAGAGCTAATTTTACATTGTAGTTTCAAAATTATATTTGCAAGAAATGTGGGGTTGGGGGGTGGCAGTTGAATGTCATTATCCGGGGGGGAAATGTTTGGAGGAGAGTTAACCTTGCACACTTTTCATTTGAGATGTTTTAATTTATTGTGCAATACACACACAGATAAATAAAGCTGTAATGGGCTTCAAGCCGCACCGGACCGCTCAGGTCCCCTTAAATTATGCTCAACCTCTTCAAAACATATATTTAAACAATAGAGATAAACTTCATTGCAGTCTGGTGACCAATTTGGAAGCCATTGGAAGGGAAGACAATGAGTCCTGATTGCACGCGAGGATTCTCTGTGATGTGATATCCCCTTTGCCAAGTCATTTTGCTGTTTTATTTATTTAATTTTTTTTTAACAAACTTTCATTCATTTATGGTCTTCCGCAACCTGCTAATTTAACACTGGAGCGCGTTATTGCAGTGTTAGGAGGAGAGAAAGAGGGAGAGAAAACAACAATACTGCAATGATCCAAATGATACAGTAGAATTATAGCAATTATAGTTCTACTTGTGGAAGAAAACCTTGCTGAGATCAGGCAAACAAACCGAAGCCTTGTGAGGATAACAAGCTTGGGGATTGACAGCCGGTGCTGGGAAGAGCCGGAGGGCACAAACAGAAATATTTGCCTCCCCCCAGCCCCCTTAACTCCAACCAGTCAAGGTTAACCCCCTCAAATGCAGCTTTCAGCGTCTTATCCACTTCAGGGCATGCATTTTATGCACACTTCTAGGTGTCTCCTCCTGGAGCCTGGTAATGGGAGGAAATGTCTCTTAATCCGCTTGCCGAGAACTCGCCCCCCTCCCTTTTCTCTGCACCCCCCATCCGGGCTTGCCCTCCACTGCCCATCCCTGCCTCAGTTCTCCCAGGGCTACTGAGATGGGGCTGAGGGCCGCCTTTGTCGGCTGTTGGGTTTTCAAAGGAGCGGCGTGGCGGTCCAAAGACTCTACTGGAATTTCCGAGGGTGTCTGGTGCGCGGCCGTTAATCCTTCCCTCTCCGCAGGTCCTCAGCCCGAGCCGCGGGTTGCACAGTGAGGGCTCGGCCGGCTAGGGGGACTGGGGGCAACTACGCTGGGGGAAGCGGCCCCAGGACGGCGGCCGAGCCCTCCAGGTAGGGCTGTGTTGGTTGTGATCGCTTCCCATATTTACAAACTTCACTTTCGGTTATCCATCGGGCGGCGGCTGGAGAAGGGGTGAGGGAGCGAGAACTGAAGATTAAACAGATTCCCCCATCCCCACCCCCCATCCCCGACATCCACCCTGGTTACCCACCAGGGCTTTTGCAAGCTTTGCTCCAAACACAAAGCCAAGCAAGGTGATCGTCGCCTCACCTCTGCCCTCCGAAGGCGTGTGTGTGTGTGTGTGTGTGTGTGTGTGTAAGGGACAGGAAGCAAGTGGTTGGGTGCGATTATCTCCCCATCTCCTACCGCACCCACCCGCCCCGCGTTTGCAGACCGGAGAAACTTCTCGGGGCCTCTGATACCAGAGGTTTCTGGTCTTTCCCCGCTGGACGGCGGGACCCGGTGTGTGTGTGTGTGTGTGTGTGTGTGTGTGTGTGTGTGTGTGTGTGTGTGTGTGTGTGTGTCCCGGGTCGAGGCGTGCTTGGTGCCCCACTCGGGGGCTGCTGCTCCCGGTGCCCCCGGACGTGCTGGGGAACAAGGGTTGGGGCTCCGAGAGGGAGCAGTTCGGTACCCAAGGAGGACTTCAATCCCAAGGCCCGGAGCCCCCACGCCCCCCACCACCCCGGCCGTAACCTCGCGGTGGAGCCCGGGTCTAGGGCTGGGCTCGGCGCCACGGCCAGGGCGCGCCCCCTAGCGGCGACTCGGGGTAGGCCG